AATTCAGTACTGATGATGGTTTTCATTACAAAAACCTTTAAGAGTGAAAAATTCTGAGCAACAAGATTATTTCCACATTGCAGTGCAGTGAATTGCCTTATATGGCCTTTTAGCCATCGTCCTCCATTTTGTGATGTACTATAAATCCTAGTCTCTATGTCTGGTTAGGGTAGCTCTGGTGGCATAGTGCCTAAGGCATCTGACTGCTAACCAGATGAAGGCTGGTGGTTCAAACCCACCAGACACTCCTCAGAAGGAAGGTTGGGCAATCTACTTCTATAGTGATACTGCCTCGGAAATCCAAGGAGGGATCGCTATGAGTTGGATCAACTCGACGGCAGCGGGTTTCGTTTTGGTTTTGGTTATGCCTGGTTAGGGGAGAATATATCTTGAGTCCCGCTTTGCTAGAGGGTGTGACTCAAGTCACCACCCTTAGTTTCCTTGAGGGTATATATGTGAATGTTCTGGGAAAGTTCTCTCCCTAGCTGTTTGGTACATCAGCATCTCAATCCTCGGACTTAAGATACCAGTCATCTGACCTGCCAATGAGTTCACCAGCCCCTGCAACCAACCATACAAGGGAGGAGAATCCTCCAGACCTACCCACAGACTTGGGACTTGCCACCCTCCCAGCCTCCACCACCACGTAAGTGGTTTCCCTCGCAGTTTGGGAGTTCTGTGAGATGTTACAGTGAAATCAGGAACCCTAAGACAGGAGGGAAGGTACTGAGGGGAGGAGGAGGAGTTGATATTAGAGACAATGGAGTGGCATAGCAGTTTGGAAAAGCTGTATGTATGGGACATCTTTAACCTCCGCCTCATAGGGACCTGACTTATGCTGATCCTTCTAAAAGAAATTATTTGAGCACACATGTAACTAAATGAACTCTTCTCAGATCTCCTGTTCTGCTATTAAGCAATAGTAATCTTTCAGAGTCCATTAAACATTCATCCACTGCCACCAAAACTGTTCCCATATCCCAAACCTATAATTAAAATAAAGTATGAGAAAATAATTAAAAGATATATTTGGAAGACAAAAAATGTGGAAATCAAAGTATACTGAATACAACTTCTTCTTGTTATATTAGAAAGAATTCCCGTTTGAACTAAATTGTTAGGGGCTGAATGTCCAGCTCCTGTAGAATCGATAATAATCTTAGTACAAAATTTCACATCAAGAAAGAATCTTGAGGTTCAATGGAGTTCGTAAATAAAATCTGATTTATGTATTAATTTACTATCATAAAGATTACTATTAATCTTTACTTCAGCAAGAGAGTTGTCAAAATATTTAATTTGCTCTCTTAAGGGAAAACAAATCACAAACATATTGAAATTGTTGTTGTTGTTATGTGCCGTCGAGTCGACCCCGACTCATAGCGACCCCTCCTTGGGTTTCCGAGGCAGTTATCACTACGGAAGTAGGATTGCCCAACCTTCCTTCCGAGATATTAAAATTAGGAAGTGCTAATTATCCCCCTCTAGCAGGCTATGGGAGCTCTGGCAGCGTAGTGCCTAAAGCACTTGACTGCTGACCAGAAGGCTGGTCGTTCAAACCCACCAGCCACTCCTTGGAAGGAAGATGAGGCAATCTACTTCCGTAGTGATACTGCCTCGGAAACTCAAGGAGGGGTCGCTGAGTTGGGTCCGACTCGATGGCACATAACAACAACAACAGCAGCACCGTTATGTGCCATCGAGTTGGACCCAACTCATAG